GCGCTTTCTTTGTGTCATTGCGTAACGTTGCATCACGTAGCATGTATTTAACCGTATTGTTCATCGTAGTTTTGTACAGTTTTGCAGCGTAGTTTCGTGTATTTGTTCTTTTCCCTTCGTGCAGTTTGTTCGCCACTAGGCAGGATCTATAACATCACAACAAATGTAAGTTTTGTATCATGTAGTTTTCTTCATTGATTTCGTTGTAGCTTTCCTTGTGTATTTAGTCTAGTTTACATTGTAATAGTTTTTCGTTCGCTGTTTTATGTGCAGTTTTAACTGTACCATTTCGTTTCGTTCCGCGTTAAAAATTGTGCTAGAATTAGTTAGTATTAGTCGATTGTCATCGAGTATTAGGTGTGGTGATTCAAGGCATCACCTAGCAATAGGAAACACAGCTATGCAGTACTTAAGATGAAATCCTGAGCGATTCAGTAATTGTTCATGGAAATATGGCAGCACTGTGGTCAGTGCTTGCCCATGTTGTCACAATTCTTCTTGTTATCAGTCTTGCTTTTGAATTTTAAAGAAAATAATGCAGGGGTCAGTCTGGCTGAATTAGCCTGGAGAGTTGTCCTTCCCAAATTTGGCCATTCCATGAGCTAGAACATAATGCAAGTCTACCACCATTGCATTGGTTGCTTCAAGTCTTAAACTTAATTTGGGCGTTCATTTGCTAAACTTGGCTTTTTCAACAAATCTCTTGCTCCTCTGCTATGATGTCTCTACAAATCCCGGAGCTATCAAACACTGTGAAAATCTCTCGTCTTTTCATTCGAGTTTTTCCTCTGTATCTGACGATGAAACCTGTTCCTCAATGTATTTTAACCCTGGCCTAGGCAACGACTGTTTATAGATCTGGCATTGGAATGTCAACTATTTAATGTCAACCAAATTCGATCAGGTAAAGCTGTTTCTACTTGGAGACTCCAGCTCTGGCAGGCCACAATTAGACACTTTTTCTTTTTCTTCATTTTAGAAGCCAAGAGTGCCAGACTCACTCTATGCAGTCCCAGGGTTTTCTATCTACCGTGAAGAAAGACCGTCAAAATGTTTCTAAAGCACGAATCTTCCTTTTGTCGTTATCATAATACTTTTGTAGTTGTTGAACTTCCATTGAAGGGGTAGTGAGTTTTGAGTGATCCCATATGTGTGTTGGTTAAAACTTGTTTTCTACCAAAGTGATCTTGCAGCATTCCAATTGCTATATCGTAGTATTATGAAATGATTGGTAGTCCCAAGATCGCATGTGCTAAATCTCCAGTTTTCATGCACTTTAGAAATTCATCTTGTCAATATTATGTAGATCAGGATTGTGGTGTGCTGCATTACTAAAGCTATCCCAAAATGTCAATGATTCCAGGGAGTTGCCGTCATATGGTTAGATTTGTAATTTCAGGAGGTTGATGTGAGCTCTAAATGTTGGTTTGCTTTCTGCCATGTTTGTGTAAGGGAGTGGACTCGCTGGTAGTTGTCTCCCTGCAATAAATTCTTGATCTGGAGATTCCAGTATAGGATGTTATCTTGAAATGTCAGCGTTTCATCTCTTTCATGCATGATTTCTTCTTCTTTGCCTAAGGCATTTATGACTTAATTATCCATGACTCAATTCAAGTCATGGAGTCAATTTGCAGTATTTATTGTGCCGACATCAGAGACAAAAGATGGTTGTGATCATTCACAAAGGAAGTCACAGAGTAGTCATGGCGCACTTTTTATGGTCGGAGGCTATGCTTCGAGTTCCATGGGTTATGAAACACTACAAACAGCTGGAGTGTCTGCAGATTTGCATCTGCCACCGGAAAAACAACCACCTTTGCGTGACGAAAAGGGTTGGTTCTCACAAAAGAAACCCACTCAAAGTGGAAACACAGATGACAGGACTCATGGAATAAAGGAGTGGAGTGCAAATAGGAAATTAGAGTTTCGAGGAATGATCGTTTAAGCCAGGTGTGGTTTAAATCTTGTTTTCACTATAGAGTCCTTAAGTGATGACGTCACGTTACTTAGCGACGAAAATTTTCGGCTCTAAACAAACCTCACCAATTCCAAGATGGCGTTGCTTACGATAAATTCACTGCTAAATTTCTTCGGAGAAGAGAAATCAATACAAAGAGGAGAAAATCACTACAAGTCAAGCCACATAGAGAAGTTTTATTATCACGAGGGAATTATTCGGGGTGAAGTTCAAGCCAGCATGAAGAAAAAAGTCTACAAAGTCACGGTAAGGTGGACATTAGATATTCTAACACGTGTGCATAGCGATCTTAAGCTCATGTTCGTTTTTCTGAAGTAGTAAATTTTATGAAGAATCTACAATGAGCTAAGTATTGAATTTTTAGTTGTATTTTTTATTTCCTAGGTGTATCTGAATCAAGATTTTGAAATAAAATCCACAGAATGCGAGTGTCCTCGAGGGGAATTTAAATGCAGCCATGCTGCCGCCATTTTCATCCATGGTATCCACAACTTGAGCAGAACCGATATCGAATGCCGGTGGAAGAAGAGAAAAGCTGCAGAGATACGCTGCAAAAATATGACATGGGTTGGCAAAAACAGGAAAAGGTGCATAACTCATCAACCGGTCAAGCTGCAGTCATGGGTTTAACTTATGGGAAGGTTATGGATTAGACTACGAAAACAAAATCCAGCAGGGTTTGCACAAATGTTAAAAAAAAACTGGAAAAGAAGCCAAGGAACACAATTGTCGACTTGTTCATACAGCATCATCAAAGGCAATGGATGCTATGGCAGCAGCCCATTTGTTTACTGAAAGCCTAAATTCTAATGTCAAACTATCAGTTAATGTTGGGGATGAAGACTCCACAACAGCTGCACATATTAAAGAGAAGGTCCTTTATCCTGTAGAAAAGATCACTAACTACAAGCTTGTATAACCTAAGCCAATGTGGGAAATTTGTAAATTCATCAACTCTCTCACAGAAAGTTATGTTGTAGCACGTCTCAAAATAAGAGAAATCCATAAGCCCTCCAAAAATCCTTAAAAAGCATTCTACCACATTCATTTGAAAACCACAAAAATTGCAATGAATCCCGGTGTGATGCCAAGAAAGATCCTATTAGCTATAATCACTCTGACTTACCCTATGGCAAGGATGACTTAAGGAAAGATACTATGGCGCAAGTGCAAGAGCTAGTTATGACTTCCAAGTAGCCTGTGGCACCTCACAAGCAAAGCTTGGATATCAGTACATTAGTCAAACACTTGAAAGCCTCCACATTGAACCTGGTATACACTGTATCAGCTATATTGAAAGGATGGATCACAAGGCTACCCAAGACAAACTAAGAAAAAAAAAGTATTAATTTCAAATGCTGAAGAGCTCAACTACGTAAGCAGAAGTTAAATCTTGATTGTAAAAAACAAATCCAGGAAGGAAACACACACCAAAGTGGGATAGGACTTAACCTTGATCCAAATAATTCTACCAAACTGATCCAAGAATTCGACATCATCAATTTGGACATTTCCAGCAGGGAGCTGAAAACCTTTGAGACATGCACTCCTGAATTAACAATCATACCAATGGCAGAGAAATTTCCCTATGACAAACAATGCTTACAATTTCATCATTTACATTATTGAAACAAACAAGTCTATGCAAATATATATTGCCTTTGCGGGATGTAGAGATTCATATTACAAGGGTAAATGGTTTAAGTGTCCAAACAGTCAGACGCATCAGAATCCTATTCAAAGACAATCAACCAGTTGAAACCGTGTCACTTGGAAAGGGTATCCGCCGTGTTCACCCCTTCAAGTTCGTCCCTACCTTATACCATGTTCACCCCCACACTTTTCGAGTTTGACCCCACCAAGTCGACTTTGCCCCCACATTGAGTAATGTCCAGTGCTGAATGTCAAGTCCACCACGATCATTCTGAATTTCAGAAATCGTGTGGGATTGTGAAACACACTTAAATCAAAACAACACTGCTTTACTAATTAATCTTGGTTAATCTAACAAACACAAAATGTGTTGTAGCAAAATCTCTAAATGTGATCACATGAAATGTGATCATAGCAACATGTCACAAATGTGTGACATTTCTATTGATGTATACCTTGCTTAACTTAATGATACTTACCTCATTTAGCTTTACTTATAAAAATAATACTCTGAACTTGTGATAATGTGAAAGACACAAATCAAAACAGCATTGCTTAATTATTATTTGGACTTGAAAAAATGTGAAACAACCGCAGTTAATCTAACAAACACAAAATGAGAAGATGAAATTGAGATGAAAACCACACTTTCATCGCAATAGCACTGTTTAGGGTTGTCAGACTTCTGATAGATGTGTAACAGTTTTAAAGATACTAACCTTGTTTAGCTTCATTTATGAAAATAAGACTCAAGAATTTACCAAACTACAATTTGATCACACTTTTGATACCAAGAATCGTCCGTCAATGACCATTTTGGTGAATTGCTCATATTTTGCTCAATGATACCCTTTGGTAAACTAATTTCAAAAATCAAGTTTAAAAGTTCCGATGATTATTAAATTCAAATTGTCCAAAATTCACTGCAAAAACCAAACTCCATTGAAGGCTTAAAATGAATTCAATTAACACCAAACTTCACACGATATAAGAAAAAGCCTTCCCATCCATTTTCATTATGTTCAAGGGCTTTGTTTTAGTTTGTTTTAGATATATATGTATATATAAATCAAGAATTCCAGCGAATACAGAAGGAGAACAGCATTCTTTACAAGCAGTTCAGTGTACTAAAGCGAATCGTTCCTATTTATAATAATTAACCGACATCTGGTCCCAAAAAACACTGGCCGCATCACATGAGACCCTAAATGGGCTGTCATCATGAAATACACCAAAGACTGAAAACTTTACTAAAGGTCTGATTACTACACGACAACACATTTATACTTCAATCTCAGATGTATTTTCATTGAGCTTCCAACATTTCGCACCATCTCGACCAAGATGCTCTAATTCAAACACAATTTTCTCTCGTGATAAGGCCTGTCACGTCATCACTGCCCATGAAGCTCTTGCGCAAATGGTTGAAATTTCGTAACAGATCTAAGGAAAGTTATTTCACAGACGAGTCTTGAGCTTTCATACCTGCTCTCATCAGAAGTTATTATTTCTTGTCATTTCATGGCTCTCTGTAGCTATATAATGCTCGTTGGTAAGGTGACCCCTTGCAGGCGATCTCCTGATTATCCTGGTGAGGTGGAATGCATTACACTCGAGGATTGCAGACCAGAAAGTCTCTCCAAGGCCTTGACTATTTTGCAGCAGACGGGGCGTGTGCGTTCAATGAACTAGAAGGCTTGGTTCTTCAACTGGGGGAGCTTGGTCTTGGAAAGGAGTGGCAAGTGCGATACGTAAAATCACTGAAGGTGGCCAAATTCTACCTGAGGGGTGATTTCAAGGTAAGCAACCGAAAGTGTTTCAAAAAAAATGGATTACGTTTTTCAAGTAGGGTGATCTTATTTCACAAATGAATGGAAGTATAGCACGAAAAAAACCGTTCCGACGACAAGTCCACCCTGAACGGGAAATATGCGTCAGTTTTTGCTCTTGGTATTCTTTTTTTATAAGCATAAATTATGCTTGTAATAGATTTTATCTACTCAGATTATTGAGGTTATTCAATTTAGATGACATGAAGCATACATATTACATATATTTTTTGTCTTTAATGTTGCAGTAACATGGTAATCCATGCTTTGTGTCAAGCTGTGTTTCCTATTTTCACTCAGGTTCACGTGAGCTCTTCTTCTCCCATTGCAATTCATTGCAGTGTATTTGCTCTGAGTGACACCGAAGATTCTGACCTGCGGCAGCAATGCAAACACAACCATGACGAGCTCTGTGACCAATGTGAAAGCTTGCATTCAACCCTGAACGACATATCTACTGCAGTTGATGAAGCATCTTTTACCACAAAAGAGGACAAAGACAAAGCTTTGTTTCTCGTTAGCTCTGCTACACTTGCCATCCAGTCATGGAGGTGCCATTTGCTGATGTCGACCCACCAAGATCAGGCTCGTTTGGACATCATCGATGCCCTTAATTCTGGAACAGTATTCATAGTAAATGACTGGGTCATGAAGTTCTTGCCTCAGAGATACCGCAAGTTACAGACAGACTGGTTTGGTAAGCGGGGTATTTCCTGGCACATATCTGTGGTATACAGACGGATAGAGGGTGTGCTACAGTGGCAAGCC